TTGGAAGTGGCCTTTTGCACTCCCATAGTTCCTTTGCTAGTTCCTGTTAAATGGCACATTACACCTTAGTGAGAAATGTAGAGTCTTGCCAAAAGCCATGCTGCTGCGTAGCTTCGCAGGGACTTACAGGTCTCCACAGTGGTACTGGTGCTGATGATGGGAATTAGCAACCCCCCCCCTTCCCCCACCAAGCCGAAGTGCGCCGAGATTTTGAGCGATTGATATGTGAATTTTTCAGACTGCGTGAGTTGAGAGCGACTCTGATGGAATGCGTCGGCTATAGGTTCTTCTCGTCGTCGTTGCTGTTCGCATTCGACGCCGATGCAGCGGATTCGACCACAGACGATGCCATTCGGTTACGGCTCATCGACTTTGCCCATTCAACTCTGCCCGGATTTGCGCAGGTGAATAATAGATCGTGTCTAAAAGGCGGAAATGTCCCCATAGAAGTCGGCTGAGCCGCAGAACCCCTCATTTTTGCGTTCAATTAGCGATCAGGCCCGTGAATGAGATACGAAAATCAATTTAGATGCGATCGCAGGCTTTGTTTTTCTGGGAGTTGCTTATCTAATAAGTCCACGTAGACTCGTGGAGTGCCTTTTTGATGCTATCTCGGTCTGAGAGCGGCTTTTTTAGGATGTTCCTTATGAGTTGCACTTGAGTCGAGCCAAGCACTGCCCAAGGATCCCCCATTAGCACCTGATTGTCCAGTTTCCATCCTCGATTTTGTGACCTGATGACAATGCAAGGCGCCATTTGGCGACAGGGTGGGGAGGGAGGGGGCATTTTGCACTTTCGCTGCATCCCACAGTCGTGTTCATTGCTCCACAAGGGTTACAGGTATTCTTTACAAGAGTTGACAAATAGTTCCCATCAAGTTTGATTAGTAGCGATTAGGGTGGGTGAACGTTCGAACAAAATGAAGCTCGTAACATTCCGTGGCTTTACAAAGGTAAGAACGGTTCACAAAGTACCTTTACCCCCCCCCCCAACCTGTTCTGCCAGAAGGTAGGACAAGCGAGGTCCTGTAGTCATTGGCTCAAATTTTCACAAATCTCTACTTGATGGCTCGACACGAGAACGGAAAGGTGCGGAAGTGTGAGAGCCCCCCCCCCCTCCCTCTCTCGAACTGCGCCCAAGGCTAGATACGAATCAGCAGAGCTAGATTCGTATCCCCCCTATTATGCCGACAAAAGGAGCGACAAGTTTACTTGGTTGCTTCATGCAGCCAGTTAATCTATCACTGGGTTAGATAAGAATGTGGTTTTACAACATTGTGTAATCATTCGGCGGAAGGAATCGGCTTCCCATTGTCAACCAAGTCTTATCCCTTCATCAGCCTTTGCACGAGAACTTGTTTGATAAGAGTGTGAGGCGTAATTCGGCTTAGTGGGGGCATCTTGCTGGCTCCCATCGATCTGCCGATGCGACCTGTGGAGATTTGAAAATTCTTGTAAAGCTATGCAATAGCAGAAGCTTTGTTTGACATTTGACGAGAGACTACAGGTTAACAAGTTGAGAGCCGTAATTAACAGGAACCACTCAAAAAACTTGCAAAGTGCCAAATTGCCACCCCGCCCTCGTCACTGCCCCTCTAGCTGTCTAAGCCGAAAAGCGCCGAGAGAATGATTCATAGATGACTATGTAACATGGTTTGCAGCGAGATAGAACATGCCGTAATAGAATCGTAATCGAAGACATTCCTTTTTACGTGGTACCGACACCTTGCATGAGCAGCAGGACTTGAGTATCTGTGGGAATGGAACGTGGCAAGTGGATGAAAAGTCAGAAGAAGGTGCTGGGAACAGGGTACAACAATGGTGGTGTCAGTATGACCCCCCCCCCCCTTCCACAACACCTACTCCCACATTTTCCAGTTTTTCACCAAGAAATGTTCTGTCAACAGGAGAAGGAGGAGGAGAAGGGGGATGGGGTAAATAGCACATGTGAAACAGGAAAAATTAGCGGAAAGTGAACAACCAGGAGAATTTTTCCCAACGCGGCAAATATCTCCCAAAGACACATACGACCACCTTTCTCTCTCCCAACAAAGACCCCCGACCCCTCCCCTCGTCAGCGCGAACAGCACGATCCCGGCTATCGTGTGTTTGCACACAATGATGCGTACCGTGGCTGGGAGACACCAACATTCAGACCCCTGCGCATCCCCACTACTTACACCTTTTATTCATAGTCGAGCCGAGGATAAAGGAATGGTTGCTTGGGCGGGTTCCTAGAAACGGAGAAGCTGCAGAAATCGAAAAAGCGCCTACCACGTTCATTTGTGGGCAGAGACCGTCCCATGGGTAGGGTATGCAAGTTACGAAACCGAGTGCATGTGTATCTGCATCTGTGTGTGTCCACAGTCCTTTTCAGACTTTCTTCCAAGGTGTGTTGCAGATGTTGAATAAAGGATTTATTGGAAACAAAAGAAGCAAACCTTGTAGGAAAGTCCGCGACAACCAGCGCACGTCATACTTCAGGAATCCCCACCGGGGAGGGGGAATTCGGACGTCGAATTCGGTCGGTGTAGGAAGAAGATCGTATTTTGTCAAAACTTTCCCCTGAAATTTTTCTCAGCGACAGGACGCTCTGGTAACAACTTTCACAAATTCGGTGGTAAGGGACCCATATAGTTCGAAAGCAGAGATGGCTCGTAGGCTAAAGGCGGCTATCGGCACCGACATCAAAAGCGCCCCACCTCACGTGGTCTGGTGGAATCAGACTTCATCAAGCCGCAAGAAACCCTCCTTACATGCTTTATGTTTGGTTAATTGGTATCAGACTCGTCTGGGAAGATAATGGAGCTGGTTCCTGAAAATCAGAAGTGCGCTTTCATGGGTTTCTAATGGTCGCTTGGGCGGGCTGTAGCCTGAATTACGTCTCATTTCTGCACCTTTAGTGGTTTGGCCTGCCTAACACAGCCGCGGTGCCATGAAATGGAAATTGTGCCTACATCCTCTCCCGGCGCAGTTCGGCGACGGGGGGGGGGCATTTTGCACTTTCACTGCTTCCGGTTTACAAGTCTCACTCTGGTGAAACTTGTGAACTCTTGTGAAGCTGGAGCAAGCTCGTCTAGCCACCATGGTAAAACGTGTCAACTCAAGAAAAGGCTACCTAGATGGGTCGCCACGGGAAGGGAAGCATCGATGGGAAGTAAAATGCCCTCTCCCCCTCCCGGCGCCGAAATGCGCTTCCTCTTCCTCCTGTGTAGCCTGCACAGGAAGTAGTGTACATCCTGCGACTTAGGCTACGAAATGGTAGGATCAGGGCACCTCGTTCGTTCGGGAATCTCCATCGGGGGGGGGGAGTCATATTTGCGCGGTAGAGGGAGGTCGTATTCGACCTGGAAGTTATTTGATAGGTGAGTTTTTTTTTTTC